GTGCCCCGGAGCGTGCAGGGTGAGGTGGGCGTGGGGCACGTGTAGCGGGGGCGGTGTCGGGCAGGGCGCGCACTGGCCTCGGTGGGCTCGGCCTGGAGTGTACAGGGTAGGGTAGGTGCGGGGCCGAGTGGGACGGGCCCTGGATTGCACAGGGTGGGGTGTGTACAGGACGAGGCGCGCAGGCTACCTGGGGTGGGCATTGACCGACGGGCTTCTTGGCGGCGCCTAGCTCTCTCCCTGTACCGCCCCGGCTTCCAGTCTGCCCTCCATTGGGCTGCCTGGGCCCTCGCACTGCATCCACAACCCCGCAGTGCTGGATGACCTGCTCCCGCAGTGATCTCTCAGCTCCTTTTATATGCACGCGGGGGTCGGAAGAGGGATGCACGCACCCCGGATTCTCTGGTGGGCTGCCTCCTGGGAACGTGCAGCCTCTGATATTGGTGCAGCGGTGTTGGGTGTGGCTGCTGACTGTAGGGGGCGCTGCTGGTAGAAATGCCTGACGATTGTGTGGTATTAGGTGCAAACTCCTGGTGGTTGTGTGATTTTTGGTGCAGAGGCCACGGCGTGGGCTGACCTTGTCAGCCTGAGTGCAGGACCCACGCAGCGGCTTGCTGGTTTCCTAGACAGGTTTCTGGGTACTCTGAGAAGCACCCACCTACTGTGCCAAGTCTCAGTGAAAATCTTTTCTGCTCTAACTAAATCTCTCAAAAGGGAGCCCTGACACCCCAGGTTGTTCTCCTTCAGCGTGACCATGTTTCACAAAGGCTGACAGATGGGGTGGGGGGTGCTGTGGGGGTGCCTCTCACTTTCACTCTTCTGTAACTGGCCAGGGCAGGCTGGGCACCACCTGGTAGAGCATGAGGGAAAGTGTGGGCTGAGCACTGCCTGCCCTCTGCCCAGGAGGTCCACCCTGTGGTCCCCTGGGACTGGCCTTTACGCCGGCAGCTTCCTCTCGGCCTCAGCTCTGGCTTCTCCTGGGATGCTCCCAGCAGGGGAGAAAGCGGGCCTGAAGCTGGTCACGCAGGTGGCCAACCCTGGGCCGGACGCCCCTTGTTGTCACACTGGCATGAGGGGCCGGCCTTGGCCTGGCGCTCGCTGTTTGCAGGCACTGCTTGGCGATGGTCCCGGGCGGTGAGCCCGCTGCGCCCGGGGCCTTGTCCACGCTGTGCCTTCTGCGGCTGAGAAGCCCCACCCTTCTTATCAGCACCCTGTTTGACAGAGTTCCTGAGCAAGCAGGCCACAGGGCTGCGATGGGAAGCCCGCCCTCAGAGAGCAGGGTGGGGTTTCCTGAGTATGGTGGGACCCTGGGAGGTGACGCTTTGGGAGTGTCCCCAAGGGTGGATAGAGATCCGTCTCACACAGGGAGGCGGGTACCCAGAGGGCACAGGAGCTCTCCCATCCCTTCCTCTGTTGCGGCTGCCGCCCCCGCCAGCCAGGCTGAGTCAGCGGTACTTGCCGCCCCATGGTGGAGTGGTCCCTTCTCTCTGTGTCCTTTTATCCCGACTGCTCCGTCGACAGTGATTTTGTGCTCCTGTGACTCTTGGGTTGTTGTTTTGGGTAAAGAAATCATCTCCTGGGGCTTCTTTTTACCAAACCAAACCCACTGCCATCGAGTCGATTCTAACTCATAGCGATCCTATAGGACAGAATAGAAGTGCCTCATAGGGTTTCCAAGGCTGTAAATTTTTACGGAAGCAGACTGCCGCCTCCTGCTCCCACGGAGCAGCTGGTGAGTTCGAACCAATGACTTTTGAGTTAGCAGCCGAGCACTTAGCCACCATTGCGCCTCCTGGGCTCCTCTGCATCTCTACTCGTTTCTAAAGCCACGGTGGAGTTTTTTGTGTTTTTATTCTGAACACCCATCTCCAGCACTAGACTAGATACTTTGTGTGGTCTTACAGTCTTATTGCTCCGCCTCCTCGGAGCCTCCCTGCAGCCTGGCAGACGCTGGCAGCTCTGTTCACAGGCCCTGAGGGCCTACGGGACACCAGGGGCCAGCGGAGGTGCGGGCCAGACCCCAGCAGTCTGTCTGCAGCACAGGCTGTGGGCTTTGCCCCTCCTGTGGGGTGGAGGCCAGGGCTCTCGGGTTGAGGGGACAGTGCAGGTCCCTAGATGGCTTTCAGAATGAAGGGTCACGTGAGCATGCTGCAGGGGCCACGCAGACATGCCGTGGGGGCTGGGACAAGGTCGTGGACACCTTGCAGGCCTGGCTCGGGCTCCACTGCCCTGAGGCCAGGTCCTCTTTGGGCACAGCCTGCTCCCCAGCGGGGTGCTTCCTGCTCCCCAGTGGGGTGCTTCCTGAGATCTGCTCCACCCTGCTCGGGCCCATCTCACACCACTGCCCTGGCAAGCCTGGCCTCTCCCTGCCGGGTTTCGGTGGAGCTCAGATGCCTTGGCCCGTCCCTGGGTGACCCGCAGGTCAGCGCATCCCCATCGGAGTCCTCTGGAGCCCGTCTGATCCTGGGAACCTGCTTGTCCCCTGCTTAGTGCTTCCCCATGGACATGCCACCACCCACCGGTGACCCAGATGGAAGCTGGCCGGCCCCTGACCTCCCATCCTCCCAGAGTCCGTCCTTCACCTGCCAGGTCACCTCTGCTGCCCTGGTGCTAAGGACGAGTGTCAGGCGCCCCACCTTTGTTCTCGCAGCCCCCGTGGCCTGCCTCAGGGCACCCCTCTCTCTGATCCCTCCTCTCTTCATGTTGTGCCCAAGGGGGTCTTTCTAGAATCCCAGTCTGGTCCTGAGACCTGCTTGGCCCCTAGTGTCCTCAATGTGGAGACCAGGCTGACATTCGAGCCCTCCCCAGCCCTGCCCACACAGCTATGACTGTCCGGAGGCACCCTCAGCAGACACAGCGTCTGCGTCCACTGTTCCCGTGGTCGGCACGGAAGCATGCTGCTGACCCCTTGTAGACCGCCCGCGGGCCTAAGCGTTGGCAAGGCAGCTCGCTACATTTTGGGACTCTTCACCAAAAAAACCAGCGGCGTGCGCGAGAGTGCACAGGGTGAGGCACGCAGACTGGCCACGGGGTCTGGTTCACCAGCCGGCCTTGGGGACACAGCCGGCCAGCCAGCACGCGTGTGATGTCTGTGTCACCTTTCCCTGCCTGCGCTGCCCAAGCGGGAGCAGGAGCCTGGGCTGCGGCTTCCCAGTGTGGAGGGCGGCTCTTGGGGGCCGGCCCCAGCCCTCGGGCCACAGTGGCTGCGCAGTGACACCGTGAGCCACGAGGGCAGTGCCAGGCCCAGGCGGGAGCAGCAGGGCGAGGGCCACAGGAGCAGATGCCCTGTCGTCTCCGGGCCACCTCGTGCTGTGTCGCTAGGATGTAAGGAGGAAGACTGAGGAAAACCCCAAGACGGGATAACGGATTCCATGCCCTTTTCTAGATAACATCTGAAAGTCCACTCACTTAACTCGATGGTGTACCTGACTTGGACCCTTCCGGTCGGGAGGTGGGACTCAGCTTGGCCCATTTCACGGTGACGAGTGAGGTTCTTGCCGCGGGGACTCCTTCCTCAGCTCTGCTGTCTGGCGTGCCGTTTGTAATTTTAGGCCAACTTGTGTTGAGCAGGGAAGTGTGAAGAGAGAACAGAATTAATCCGACTTTGGGGTT